AGATGTGCTTTCAAACTGCTCTTCTTTTTAAACTTCTTTTCACATAGTTCACAATCGTATGGTAACTCTTCTGTATGAATAAACAAATGTGCCTTCAAAGTGCTGCCATCTTTGAACTTTTGTCCACAATGTTCACATTCATAGAGTTCTTCTGCTGTATGTATCCTAAGATGTGCTTTCAAACTGCTATTATTTAAAAACTTCTTTTCACAATGTTCACAATCGTATGATACAGGTACCTCTTCTGTATGAATACCCAAATGTGTCTTCAAAGTGCTGCCTTCTTTGAACTTTTGTCCACAATGTTCACATTTATAGAGTTCTTCTGCTGTATGTATCCTAAGATGTACTTTCAAACTGCTATTATTTTCAAACTTCTTTTCACAATCATATGATACCTCTTCTGTATGAATACCCAAATGTGTCTTCAAAGTACTCCCATCTTTAAACTTTTGTCCACAATGTTTACATTTGTACAGTTCTTCTGCTGTATGTATCCTAAGATGTGCTTTCAAACTGCTCTTCTTTTCAAACTTCTTTTCACATAGTTCACAATCGTATGATAACTCTTCTGTATGAATACCCAAATGTGTCTTCAAAGTGCTGCCATCTTTGAACTTTTGTCCACAATGTTCACATTCATAGAGTTCTTCTGCTGTATGTATCCTAAGATGTGCTTTCAAACTGCTATTATTTAAAAACTTCTTTTCACAATGTTCACAATCGTATGATACAGGTATCTCTTCTATATGAATACCCAAATGTGTCTTCAAAGTGCTCCCATCTTTAAACTTTTGTCCACAATGTTTACATTTGTACAGTTCTTCTGCTGTATGTATCCTAAGATGTGCTTTCAAACTGCTCTTCTTTTTAAACTTCTTTTCACATAGTTCACAATCATATGGTAAATTTTCTGTATGAATAAACAAATGTGCCTTCAAAGTGCTCCCATCTTTAAACTTTTGTCCACAATGTTTACATTTGTACAGTTCTTCTGGTGTATGTATCCCAAGATGTGCTTTCAAACTGCTCTTATTTTCAAACTTCTTTTCACATAGTTCACAATCGTATGATAATTCTTCTGTATGAATACCCAAATGTGTCTTCAAAGTGCTGCCATCTTTGAACTTTTGTCCACAATGTTCACATTTATAGAGTTCTTCTGCTGTATGTATCCTAAGATGTACTTTCAAACAGCTATTACTTTCAAACTTCTTTTTACATAGTTCACAATCGTATGATAATTCTTTTGTATGAATACTCAAATGTGTCTTCAAAGTGCTGCCATCTTTAAACTTTTGTCCACAATGTTCGC